ACCGGCCCCAACACAAAACTCATTGTTGAGCCATATGGGTGTGTTGTTTGAGGGTAACCTTTTTGGTGTGGTTTCATGGGAAGCCCACAGGAAAGCACCCAATCTTCAAGCGCGTTTCCAGGCATTTTGGGGGTATGGATGATTAAAGAACCCCATACAGAAAAAAAAGAAGAGGAAGAAAAAAACATGTAGAAGTGGCACTTGACCGCCATGCCTCCGAAACCCATCCCGGGAAACTCCCATCGGGGCATCCCATTTGACATCCGACTTCAGCCTGGAACTCCTCTCGGGTCAGAACCTGCGAGAAGGAAGGACTCAAACCAGGCCACTAGAAGGATCTTGTGGGTGTCCATTTTTAACTAAAAATGGACAGGTTTTTGGAGGTGACCTGCTAGAGGTTGGTTTTCCGATTCTATTCTTTTCAACCATCGTTCTTTTCAAAAACCAGATCTCTGTTTCAGGGTTTTGGGTGGATTTCAGAAAGAAGGATGCCTGGAAAGAATGGGAAAGGTACCCCTACATTGGAGGACAGGGACAGTTGCAACCACTCCCAAGTTGGACGATGTCAGGTACCTTGACGACAAAAGGGGAGAACTGAAGCCACTCACTCAGCTTGGACCATCACAAGTCGCGGCTTCCAGTCTCAGGCTGGGACGCCGTCCCCATCCTTGTCCAGAGCACTGAATACATCCATCCTGCCGTGGCAAGACCTAAATTGACAGGAAAACCCCGCCCGCGGGGCGCTGCGGGTTGGGACGGAACCTTTTGGGGGGTTTTTGTTTGGGGCTTTCTGGGCGGGAGTGGTTTTCAGGAGTTGCGTTGCCCCTGGGCTTGTGGAAAAGGTCATGAGAACCCAAGCCTTAGGCGAGGCCGGCCTACCATCCTGTGTGCGTTTTGGGTACCTCCCTGACTTTCGTTCTTGGGGAGATGACCCAAAAAGGTTCTAACACATGGGTTCAACTTAGGATTTACTACGCACATGACTGTCTTTTAATACAAGCCGGAACCCGATTATTGGGACCCGTTGAACGGGCCCCTGAGCTTTGAATGGATCTTAAGCTTTCCAAAGCGAACAGTCGAGCTGACTCAGCTTGCCTGGTGAAAGAGAAACGTTGCCGTGGAGGTGTCTTCTGGAGCTGATATCTGGCTGTTCCAAAGCCAAGACGAAGGAAATCGAAGCCACTTTAGGAAATGGGTCAACCGTTTTCAACCGGGTTCGCAATGAATGGCTCTGTCAGCATGAATCCATCACAAGTTCAAGAACCCAACTCCCACAGGAGTCAGCCCACATACGCCAGGCAGCAAGCACTGTTTGGGTTGGAAGCCCCATTAAATGGAAACATGGAAACTGAAGCTACGCTTGATCCTGCCACAAGCGGACATTTATTGACTGATGCAATAACTGTTCCAGCCGTTTGAACTCAACTGCGACCAAATGGATGCCAGCAGCACCCGTAGGCGGCCTAGGGCAAAGAATGAACATCATGGAGCCAATCGAACTTGCGACTGTCGATCCGATGACCTCAAAAAAGGATCTGGTGGTATCCTCTACCAGAGACTTCGGAACGCCCCCCCCAACAACACGGGATTCAGCGGGTGCCACTGAGCTGGGGAAACAGCAACCTCCTCGAGCCCCGAAAGGCCACTTTTTGCGGTCAAAAAGGCGTATGCGGCTTGCTTTTTCCGTAAGGTTGCTTTTTGTGTCCTCTCTTTTTTTTCCGGTCATTTGCCTCATTTGCCCGTATTTGGCCGTATAAAACCCGTAGTTTGTCGATCAAATATTGAAAAACAAACGAAGAAACGTATCTGGCCGTATGACCAGTGCTTCCGGGCAAAGCCTTTTGACTACAACAAAACAGCCATTTGGGGCTCCGGGCTAAAACAACATGTTCCACGCAATTGGCAAGGCATCCCCTCGATTGGCTGAACTACCCCGAAATCCCCGCAACACTACGGGAAACCAAAGGGCACCGACAACTTTGTAGTTTGATTCAGTGTGGTCCAAGCACCCATCTTGGCCATCGTGATTGCTCAACTAGAACTGAAGCAATGCAGCAAGCTTTTCGGAAGATGCTGAGGGTTTGACCTCCAGTTGAGCGACGTTTTAAAACCCCTCAACTGAAAGTAGCATTCGTGGGCAAATACCTTCTTAACAACGTTTTTCCCTTAGGCCACGAAAGGGTGCGAAAGAGTTCGCTAAACGGTTTATCATTTGCATTGTTTTACGTACACGCGAAAGGTTCGCGAAAAGGCCACGACCGCGAAATTGTACTGTCCTGTGTCCGCGACCGCGAAAGCAAAGACAAACTTCAAATCCATTTCTCAATCCGCGAAAGCGACGCGAAAGCCATTGTCCCACCAAACCTCTCGCGACAGGGATCTGAGATTTCTCATTGGGTTTAGAACACCGACAGTGACTGACAGTGGTATTTCCCAATTGGGCCACAGTCAAAACCTGGCGTTGACGTGGTTTTGCGCACCGATGGTCAAAAATCAAAAG